AAACTTGCCACCATTCAATTCAGCTTTAAAAGGGGAATCTATTAATTCAAAAAAAAAATTGAACAATTTATATTTTCAGATCAATCATAAATATATAAGCTAATAATAATATATAAACGTAGAATATAAAAAATATCAATTTTAAAATGTATGCTAAATAATAAATTCAAATGGTAATTTTTATCAGAACGAATCATAAATATAAGTGTAGATTTTTTGTGAAACAAAAAAAAGCATTTTTCCTTTTTTTCCTTTACGAAAAAAAAATTATTTTAACAAAAATTATTTTTCTCAAAAAGCGATTATATTTGTAAAACTTTTACTTGTATATCTTTTCGTTTAAAATAAGAAAAAATATGACACCAATTGAAAAAACAAGCGGTCCAAAAATATCAGCTGGTAATTTGATTTACTTGTCTATATTATCTTGACAATTTGAAAATTGTTCGTGTTTTGTCCAATTATCACCAATTAATATAGATCATTCATTTCAACATCACTAACTAATACTGCTGCTGCTTTGTTTCTATTGCTAATTTTAAAAAACCTCCTCTAGATGCTACTGCTACTTCCTCATTAAGAGGAAATTCCAATTCACAAGCATCTACAAATGCATCGATTTTCAAATCTGAAAATAAATCAACTCGTTCACCAGGTTTGTCAATAAATTTTTTAAAAATGATTATGGGACCGATAATGAGCTTTTTATAAACTTTGTTGATCAAATTTTATATTTTTAATCAATATTTCAAATCTAGTTCATAGGATTAATCATCAAAACAAGTCAAAAATCACCAAATCGACCAAAGGCCCTATTAACAGAATAAAAAGAACCTACGAAAAAACAACAGATATATCAAATCAAGCAGAGATATCAATATTATTAGATGATGATAATAACATAATGAATATTGAAACTGCTGATAACACCGTTAATACTACTTTTAATAATAATATAAATGATCTTGATATTAATAATTATGATAAAAATAAGAATATTGTTGAGATTAAAAAAAAACCACCATTCCCAACAAGAAATTTTGTTCAAAATCAATCAAAAGATAATTCAACTGATTTTATTCCTGAACAACCTATTTCAGGAAAAAAACGTGCATTGCCGCCGGAATCATCAAAATTTGGCTTTTTACCTCTAGATACATTCATAAAAGAAGAAAAACAGAATAGAAAGTCTAGAAATTGATGTGGAAATAGAGCAAGAAGAGGCTAATAAAGCATTAGATACATCAGGAAATTTTCACCACTGTAATATTACGTCCAAAAATTTAATATGTAAAATTGTAATATTTGCATAATATTATGGGACATGCCATAAACTCACGTAAATAGTGTAATAATTACATAAATCTGTGTCAGAAAAAAAATTCCTGATGAAAAGCAATGAAGTGGGGAAAATGACGAATCTTTGAAACTGTATTGAAGCATGATATTGCAATGGGCAAACTTTTAGGCTGAATAGACTGATTGGAAAATAAATTGGCAGCTAAAAATCAGGAAATAAACAGAAGAGACTACTTAGAAACTAACAAGTTACAGCTTTGCCAAAACAACAAGAAGAAAACAGATTACACAAGTTCAAAAAATTAGTAAGTAGAATAAAAGAAAAGACTAAGGAGAAGTTCCAACCTTTCATTGTTCAGAAAAGTAAGTAATTTAATATGAGATTAGAATATACATGGGTTGTACAAAAAGTTTTGAGAAAATGCATGTAACTTTATAAATTTGAAGACAATTGATTTGGAAATTTTTTTAAATAAAAGACAGAGTTCCCATCTTTCAAATAAAAAAGGCAAGTATTTTTTTGGTTGCTAATTATTGAGATATTAAATTTTAAAGATTAACAACAAAAACAACTGGAAATTTTTTGTCATAAGGTACATAACTTGATGATTTTAAGTGTAATAAATTTGAAATTCTTTTATATAAGTAACATTCTTCTCATCTTTCAAATAAAAAAAGGTTACATTCTTTTACCAGTTAGTTATTGAGATATTGAATTTTAAAAATTATCAACAAAAACAAGCCTTGTACATTGGTTATCTAAAAGGTTGAGAAAAGCTAAAATAAATTAATGCATTCCTTCAAAATAGTTCCCATCATTATCTATGCATTTTTGTAGCCTATTTTTCCAATTTTCAAATGATTTCTGATAGTCCTCTTTTGTGATGCCATCTGTGATTGCCTGAATTGCATGTGCAAGATTTTCAATATGATCAAAATGCTGATTTTTTAGCTCTTTTTTAATTCTAGGAAATAGAAAAAAGTCATGAAGAGCTAAATCTGGGCTATATGGAGGGTGGGGGAGCAAAATAATTTTTTCCCCTTCTAAATACTCTGTTACAATTTTTGATTTGTGTGGAGCAGCATTGTCATGATGCATCATCACATTTCTTACTGTTTTTCTATTTTTTAATTCTTTATATTTTGAAAATACAATAGGCAATACATTTGTTCTATAAAATGTGCCATTTACAGTCTGACCTTTTGGTACAACAATTCTTGCCACAACACCTTCTATTGAGAAAAAAACACAAAACATCCTTTTTTTAGCATTTTGTGCAGTTCTGGCAATTTGCAGCTGATTTTCCCCACTTTTAACCCATGTTTTATTTGATTCTTTACTTGGTACAGTATAAAAATGAAACCAAGTTTCATCACCTGTGATAATATTATTAAGTCCATTATCAAGGATTTCTAACAATTGCTTAGAAATTTCAACCCGATTTTTTTTATTTTCAACAGTTAAAACATGCAGGACCCATTTTTTACAAATTTTATGAACTTTTAATTCATTATGTAAAATACTTTGAATACTTCCTCTAGAAATACCTACATTCTCTTCAACAGCTGTAATTGTCATATGAAGATCATCACTAATTAAATCATCAACTTTTGCAATGTTTTCAAGGGTGGAAGTTTCTTGAGGATGTCCAGAACATGAATCATCTTCAACATTATTTTCTCCACTTTCAAATGCTTCAATCCAATGATAAATAGATGCTAAAGATGCTGCATTAGACCCTCAGCAACCTGTAATTCCTGTTGAATTTGTTTGGCTGGTTTTGCTATTTTTCCAGTTAACAAAAATGTAGTATCTTTGGTATTCACATTTTGAATTTTACATTTGTTTCTACTGGCAAACTTTAAAAATTTATAACTTAACAACAAATGACTCAATTTGAATGATTTTTTTTTTATTTAAAAGATTGTGGCTTAAGGATTTTTTATTCACATTTTTACTTTTATTAAAGAAAAGATCATCAAGCTACATGTATTTTCTCAAAACTTTTTGTACAACCCACATATAACTACTACAAAACATTTTAATTGATGATCCGTCTATGAATGAGTGAAATTTCAATCTTTTTACCATTAAAAAACAGAGGAAATATCTTATAGAATGATCTGCAAAAATATATTCCACATCCCCGTCATGTGATAAAATTTAATGAAAGAAAATGAAAAAAAACTTTTAGATTTCGTTTTTGAAAAGATTTAATTAATAATGAAGTACTTGTAGTGTCATTTTACTTTTTTAAAGTTTTGGAATTTTGAAATTTTGGAGTTTAAAAACAGTTTTGGAATTTTCGGAGTTTCAAAATAAATTGAAAACAATTATCGGAGTTTCAAACAAGTCTATTTTTATCATAAATAATTGTCAAAATTTGAACATACACTAATTAATGCCTTGAATTGCTTCATGACTCCGTCTGGTAATCTTTTCCATGTGGATGATTTCAATCTATTTGAGGCGTACCACTATAAACACACCATTTTTCGCTTTGGGCACTGTTGCAGTTGTATTATTCCTTCTCACCAACAAATTAAATCATGGATATCTAGATTTAATCAACATCACAGAAAACAAGTACATTTTTTTAATGTTATACAAATGTAAAAAACTTTTTTATATGAAAAATCTCACTCATCTCTACATCCCCAAAAGTAAACCCTTTTTTTTCGATATTCTTGAAAAAAAACACATAAATATGTTCTTTGACATTTGTTTCATAACCTAAAATCAAAAAATATTATTTTATAATACTAAAGTATGGTACCATTTTTTTTATACAAAGTCGTCAATTGGTGAAATTTGACATTTTTCCTCCACCGATCCCTATGTAGAGTTCACTCATTCATAGACAGATCGTCAATTAAATGTTTATATTACTTATGTGTCTGATAATGGTATTGTTCAAACCAAATTTTTGCAATTAATTGGATTAAGTTGTGGGGGGATGCTGATACAATTAGCTCATTATTGATAAATTTATTTAAAAAAAAGGTAAATTTTTGTTAAATTTTTATGTGTATACACATACATTTATATACATTAATAATATTTTTTTTTAATAGATGTTTTGAAAAAACTCATTTCTTTTGCTTCAGATGGAGCAGCAGTAATTATTGGCAATAAAAAAGGTGTAGCAATGCAATTAAAGCAATTGTGTCCATTCATTGTAGTAAATCATTGTGTTGCCCATCGGTTGGCATTAGCTTGCAAAGATGCAAGAAAAGAAATTATTTTTTATAATCAAGCTGAAGAAATGATGAAAAGTATTTACAAATATTTCAAAAGTTCATCTACACAAAAAAATAGCCTCAATCTTTATCAAAAATTACTTAATTCCTTGTATTAACATTCTGAAGCTACATGACATTCATTGGTTAGCTTGGTATGATGCTGTAAAAAATGTATGTGAATCCTTACCAGCACTACTCATTCTATTTAAAGAATCTGAATCTGAAGTTGGTCAAAGATTATATAATGATCTTTGAAGATGGAAGATGATTGCATTTTTATTTTTTTTTTATGACATACTTGGTCATTTGTCACAGCTGAGTAAACATTTTCAAAAAAACAATTTAAGGTTTAATGATATAGAGCCAGCAATTAAAACAACAATACGACTTATTAATTCAGAATATATAGATGCTCCTCAAAGATTATTTGGAAGAAATTTGAAAGCATTTATTCATCAAACAACTCCTTTTAATAATTCAATAATTAATTATAATAATAATCATGTGCTTGTTTATTCAGATGAAGATTATGATGACTTGTTGTCAAATATATATGAATATGCATCCATGGTAATTTATGAAATTAATGTTAGATTTCCAGATTATCCTTTGGTTACAGCAATGAAAGCATTGAATCCTTCTGAGTGGCTATCTATTGAATCTGAGAATTTTATTAAATTTGGGCTATCAGAATTAAAAATTTTGGTAGATATTTTTGGAGTAAAAAAATCTACCAATGTTAATGGTTATAATGAAATTTCTCCACTAATTGATCAAAATGAATGTCAGAATGAATACCCTGGTTTTAAAACAATTGTTGCAACTAATTATGTTGAAAAAAATATGCAAGAATTATTACCATTGATTATTAATGACTTTTCTAACATGTTTCCAAACATTATTAAATTAATTAAAATCATTTATAGTATTCCATTTTTAAGTGTGGATTGTGAGAGAGGGTTTAGTGTACAAAACTTAATCAAGTCAAAATTGCATAATTCTCTTAGCACAAAAACATTAGACATGCTTATGAGACTTAGTATTGAAGGACCAGAAAGCAAGGACTTTGATTATGATAAAGCATTTATTATTTGGAATAAAAAATGTAAAAGAAAAGGTATAATCATTAAATAATATAATGTCCTTGGATGTTTATTATATATATTTTTTTTTAAAAAAAATTTTTAAAATGGTTGGTTTCACAATAAATTAATTTTCTATTACCGGGAAATTCCTAATTTTTTGACCGGCTCTTTCAATTTTTACCGGAATTTTGAATTCTAAACCGGAAAAACTTGCAAATTTTAAGTACATTTTGCGCCTTGGTGTGGATCATCTATACTCAAAAGTTAAAATTTTTGAAATATTATGTGATACACACATTGAATTTTAAAAAACTTACCACCATTCAATTCAGCTTTAAAAGGGGAGTCTATTAATCTAAAAAAAAAATTTGTCTCAAA